CAGCCAGCCAGCCAGCCAGCCAGCCAGCCAGCCAGCCAGCCAGCCAGGCAGACAGACAGACAGACAGACAGACAGACCAAACAGAGCGAGAGAGAGAGAGGGAGCGAGGGAGGGAGGGAGAGAGAGAGAGAGACAGATACCAAAACAAGGATCGCGTATGAATCGCAGAAGGAATCAGAAGGAGCACCTGCCAAAAGCGCGTTCCGTTGCAGGAGATCCCCACAGAGATCAGCCACCAACCTTCAGCATGCAAACTCCCTCTCTCTCTCTCCCTCTCCCTCTCCCTCTCTCTCTCTCTCTGTGACTTTTTTTTTGGTAAGTGAAACTTGGTCCTTCAATGCTGCAATGTGTTCTGAAGAGTTCTGAAATGTTCTACCTTTGAAGCACTGACACTCAACTACTCCAGCTGCATATAGAGACATGACCAAGGGGTTGGCCAGTCTGGGAAGTGCCAAAGAGTTGCCTCGGCCATAGCGCGCAGGTAACGCTCAAGCAACTCTCCAGCAGCGCTCAAGCAGCGCTCTCAGCTGACGTGTTTCAGCGACAATTTTGATCGTTGAGCCAGCAGCTGCACCCAAAAGTGCGGAGCCCTTCCAGGAGGAAGACCAGTTTCTTCCGCTGCCCTGCCTCAAGCATCTCAAGCGTGTAGCTTGTAACTTTGGAGCAAATGGGCATGTCCAAAGAATTGTAAGCTTCAGTCGAAGAATTTCTGAGCATGGACCAAAGACTGCAAATGATGCATCTGCCTAGAAACAGGAGATTATTTGCCGACTCTTTTGGCGGTCGAAAGGGGAATATGGCTCCAGTGAAACAAACACTCCCCGCACCTCTCGCTTCAGCCTCTGTGCACCAAAAACAAAGGCAAAAAGCCAGCCTTCCGCCTTCCGAGTCTGTCTGAGCTGCAGGCGAAAAGGAAAAGCATAAGTGGCCGTTCCCAAAGCCCGCTTTGACCAGAGACTGCAAGAAATCCTCGAAACGGACCACTCAAGGATCACTTGAGCAAACTGTCCATGTCTTTCCAGGTCTACAGTACCGTCCCACTTCCTGTCGCACATGGGAGAGACCAGGCAATCCCAATCCAAGGAGACCATCGAAGGTGCTCAGGTCCAGATCTTGGACTGAACTTGCCACCAGAAACTCCTGGAGTCCATAAACAACATAGTACAACCACAGAGGATATACCACTCTTTTTTAAGCCCGCTCCCCCCTCCCTACTTAATTAAGTAGGCGCCTACTTAATCAAGTAAGGGAGAGGTAGCTAGTAGCTTCAGTAGCTACTACTTAGGATGCAGGATAGCTCACGCCGCCCTAGGGGAGCTTCCTTGAAGAAGCGCTCGCACCAATCATTTGGTTCCTAGATGTTTAGGGAACCTTAACAATCCTTAACTTCTGCTTGAAATCCCGCAATGGAGGGTTAGACGGGGAGAGGTAGCTACTAGCTACTGGACGCAGGATAGCTCACACTCCTTCAAGGAAGAAGCGCTCGCACTTTCCTAGATGTTTAGGAAAACTAAACCCTTTTAATTACATGTAATTAAGAAGAACATCGATCCTTGTGAAATCTTCTGCGATTTCACACACTGAAATGCTCCTGGTTGACACAAAGTGGCTGGGGCTGTGTGAGCAAGCAAGCACGGTCAACGCCTAAGCTCTCAACAAGCCACAATTGAGCCGGCTGTGCTTTGCTGAATAGCAATGGCCTCCAACCTAGAAGCGATGGCCTCCAACCTAATAGCAATGGCCTCCAACCTAGAAGCGATGGCCTCCAACCCAATAGCAATGGCCTCCAACCTGGAAGCGATGGTCTCCAACCTACTAGCAATGGCCTCCAACCTAATAGCAATGGCCTCCCTTTGCTGAACTCACATTACGCCTCTTTTATACAAATTGCTGCATTGCCTGCAAATGCCAAAGTTGATGCCTGTTTACACTTGCTGCATCCGGTCTTTCAAGCAAGGTTTCCATGATGATGAGTCAATGATGAGTACAAGGCCGAGCAATCCTCTGACCAATCCTTGTCCATATTCAAGCTCCACCTGATTGGTCCATAGATTGTACACATGGCAAAGCTGCACTCTTGTGAACTAAGGACAAAACTGGCTGCTTCGAGACGAGCTGCCTCATAAGAAGGCTGAGGGACTTTTCACTTCACAGTCACATCGATAGCATAGACCCATACAAGTTTCACTTTCAGTTTCTTGAATGACGTCGGGTGCGAGATGCTGCACATTCTCTTTATGTGTAAAAGAAGTATTTGAGGTTTAAGTAATGTACAGTCTCTGACCGTTTCTATTCCTTCTGTCAAGTGGCCACGTGTCCGACAGTCCCCTTGAATACCTCTCTGCCGATACCCAAAGGTCCTAGGAGTCAAAGGCTGCGAAGGCTAAACGGCACGGCTCCTTTTTCTTCATTCTCAGTAACACGGAGCATCGAGCAGAAATTGTCTGAGCAGCAAACTGAGGAGCCCGTGTCCAGTCTGAGGTTCGACATGCGTCATATTGTCGAGGGTTTCGGGTGTCCGCTGCAAGCTCCGTGCTAAGCTGCAGACATCATGCGGAAGTCTTGTTTTGGTGATCCTATCCTGCCACGATTGGACCAAAAGTGAGACCGGCCACTGGTGCAGATGAGAAATTTATTCTGGTGACGCATCTGAGCCAGCAACGATGTCCTACCAATGTACTGTATGTCCTGCAAGTCCTCGTTCAGGCAAAGAAAGCTTAGAAAACCAAGAGGGGAAGACTCAAAGGTATTCATAGCAAAACTCCAGTCAGCTATCACATGCTGCAAATGTCATGAACGGCATCGATGCGCTAGACCATGTCCCGACTGTTCTACGAGAAAGGTGAAGAAGACAACACAAGAAGAAGAAGAAGAAGAAGACTCTGCAAAGCATTGACGCAATTGTGCCTCCTGAAGGTTCTGTTCAAACAGACTTGCTCCAATGCCCCTTATGCACCGAAAGGCTGGTCTTTCTTGTGGTCCTGCAGTTGAGCGCTCACCGTCCTCTCGACGCTCACCTGCCAAGTGCTGAGCCGGTAAGAGGAGCACTTACCGGTAAACATTGGTAAACATGAAATGACTCATACAAGTATCAATTCAATTGATTTCAATAGTATTGTCTAGTATGTCAGCTGTTTGAAGCCAGAATTTCGAGCTTTCTTCTGTCCTCTTCGGTTTGCTACAAAAACGCTCTCTAAACGCGTTTTAAGCTAAGTACCTTGTGGACTCGAGGTTTAGGCAGCCATGGAATCGATCCAATCGACCAGCCCCAAGGATTGGATGCAAAGACAATGGCAAAGCAGTGTGGAAAACCTCGAGGAAGTTCAAGAACTTTGAGAAAAAACAAATGCAAGCTATTAAAAGGGGAAAAGCTTTGAAGTTCCAGATTTGGCCCGTGAAAGTCATAGAATCACATTGATATGCTATGACAATAACTATCAAACCCTCCTCCTTGCCACTCCAAAATGACTGGAGCAAACCTCTGAGACCCAGACCTGAAACTGACCAGCCTTGGGCTCGCTTGCTAGCATTTCTTGCAAGCCTGGCTTGAAGAGACAAACAAGTCCCACAAGAGACTGACAAGAATCTGGAACTACTAGCGTGGCACCTGTTACTACTAGCTTCTTGTTACTACTAGTAAGGCACCTGTTACTACTAGCAAGGCACCTAGTGGACACACAACGGATGTGAATGGAATGGGTGCCTGTGCCTTTGCAGTGGAAACTCAACAACCTTCTCCTGTGGCCAGCGGCGTGATGAATGCTTGAGTTTGTCAACTTTGTTCTGGGTGAAATGCAAAAGCAACACGAGGTTGCTGCCTCGCAGTTGTTACTACAGGTATACATCCGTAGACCACACTCTCTTGCACAATATGCCGGCAGGTATTTCCATGCACTCAAGACCTTGAAGTTGGTCACCTACATGCTCTCCCGTTTCAACTTGTGTAAGACAGCCCTGTGCACAACCTCCGACTACATTTGCTGCCATCCCTTTAACTTTTTGACTGTGTTGACTTTGACGCGATGCCTGGCCAGCTGCACATGTCAAGCAAGGCTCCATGCCATGGAGACACCATGGATGGCAGGTTCGAAGTCTGTGTGTCACATGTGTTGTCTCTTCTAACCTCTGTGTAACCTGGTTGATCCTGGTTGTCCTAAAAAGGTGTTGTTCGACCCGACCCAACGCGGCTTCTACTTGCTCTCGTCGTATCTTTGGAGATGAGGCAAGGGTGCTTCAATGCCGAACTTGGAAAGCTGTGAAAAGAACAGGCACGAAGAAATGCTCTATTAGAAACAATAAGCTACTAGGAACAAGTGCATCGCTACTAGTAACAAGTGCCTTACTAGTAGTAACAAGAAGCTATTAGAAATCCTATGTTTTGGCTGTTCTTGTGCCATGAGGGTGCCTGTGCATGAAAAGCCGCCTGTGCTTTTTGAGCACGTCTGTCAACTTGTGTCTGAATCTCATCAAGCTTTTAAAGGTGGCGGTGGCAAGTAAAGTGGCCTTGCAGATCCTTTTGCACTGAGCTAGACTCGGGCAAATGGTATATCATGTCTTTTGAGAGAATCCTGTATGGATTCCACCTCGACATGCACACCTCCCGCTCCAGCTGCACAATGTTCTGAATCAGGAGATTTCAGGCCCACCTCTCAATGAGATTACGAGCTTCGCCAGCTCCTTCGCAACGCGTGAGCTTCATGCGAATGAAGTTCCAGGGAAATTCCTTCATTTTTCTTTTGCAGCCTGCAGCGGCTACAGCATGCTGAAAAGTGTCTGGCCTAGCCTTAGCCAAAGGCCCGTTCAGTTGCCGCTGCTTCTCTTGAGCAGCCTGCACCTGTCAAATTCAGCTGATGTCAGTTCATCACTTTCTTCGCTGCTCAAAACATTGAAGAAGTGGTGTGAAAGAAGGAAAAAGAACTTCTGCCAAAACAAGTGCTTGCGCACCTCTGCCTTCAGCTGTTTCAGCTGTTTGACCTCGGCTTCCAAACAAGTCTTTCCATCCATTTCTGGATTCCTTTTCCTAGCAAGTCAAGCCCATCAAGCTTGTACGCTGAGACTGATTGAAAACCTCCCTTTGCCGACAGTTTGTCTCTCTATGCATCAAGTAGCAGTTGCAGCAGGTGGGTTCCGAGCGAGCGCATCCTTCACATCCTGGATGTGCATTGGCACTTCCACCACATTCCCACGTGACTCCATCACATCACTTCGACTTACCGTGCAAGATGAATAAGTCGAAAGCCCCCCCTCCTGACTTGCTGCACGTGCCAGACCTCGAGCAAGCCTCGCATCCGAATCACAAGATCTCGCATTGAGCGAGATCGACCCTCCACGCACCTCGACCTACTTCGCAGGTACTCGGCTGTGTAGAGGCCTTCGATTCGAGCGGCGAGACCGCTTGTCATTCGATCTCTCAGACTCATCGAGAAGACGGTCAGTCCTTTTTCTTCTGCTTCCTTCATCTCTGGGTCCGCCTGCAATAGGCGCTTGTCCTAGGTAGGGGCATCTACCTTGAGATCCACAATGCCATACATAAGACATTTTTTCATGTGTTTTCACTTTCACCCTGATGAATATTGGCAGCACAAAATCATACACTGCGAAGTGACATGAGCAAATATATGTCTTTCTCTTTTGTCAGAAAGGAAATGAAAGGAATCTAAGTGACAGACTGCAGCACTCCACAAACCCAGAACAGCCGTGAGGTCCTGCGAGGCCTCTTTGTGACGACCTTGCAAACAGGCATCAGAAAACAATTCATGGTGCTGTGCAGCCAGCTGTAGCAATCCCTGGAGTCATGTCTTAACCTGATCACTGAAACATGTAAAAGCGCTTGAGGCGTTGACCAAGGTTCTGCCGGCAGCGAGCCCGATTCCTAAGCAGCGGGCTCAGGATTCTGACTCGCTGCAATGTGTCTAACGGCTGCAGCCCTTGCCCATGGGGCAAAAAACTGGGCCCTGACATGTAGAGAGATGTGTGCAGCGGCAAGAGCTCTTGACAAATTGGCAAAAGCTCGGTCGCCTCGATTGACAAGCTCTGGCTCTCGGAACTTGTGCTGGTGGTGTTGGCAAGCTGTGTGCTCTGCTGGCACTTCACAACCATTGGACAGCTCACACAGGCCCTCTGCATCCAGAGACAAAACCTCAGATGGCTTGCAAAATCGAGTCAGGTGAGAATTGCTGCCTTTTTGATGGGAAACTAGTCTTATCGATAGGATCCATGTTCAAAGCAAACGATGCCTGCGCGGTGCTCCCGAATGCCAAGGGGCGGTGCTCTGTATGAGTGTCGTCTTTGCCTCATGCAGGCTCCAACATCAACTGTTGCTCACTGAGGGTGTAACAAAGGTCATGCCTTCTCGGAATCCACTTGTCTCCTCGGCAAAATTTCTATCCCCCATCCCCCACTCATGACACAGGCATCAGGGTCGGCATCACGGATGCTGAGTGTGACACTGTGTGTCCAGGACAAAACTTCTAATTGGCTCCAAGTGACACTAGTACCTGATCCCCTCGCTGGATATTTCGCGACGCGAACTTGGCGATGCCGGAGCTGTAGAACTCTGCAGCGGCCTCAAAATCCTTCATCGTGAAGAGCCTCAATGTCCGTGTTCAGTGAACTTCTTGTTACCACATATTACCACACAAGTGTGTACCAAGAGACAGATTGCCATTCTCCTTTGCTGCACTTCCAAACTTGAAGACCGTGTCCTTGCAAAAGCTGTTCAAACTGTTCAAACACTTTGCCCTCAGGTGGTTTGATGGAACAGCTCGTTTGGCTCATTTGCACCCGAGGCCCCCCCTTCTGCCCCCCTACTACTTAATTGCGTAGGCACCTACTTAATTGAGTAAGGGCTAAGTAAGCTGCTAGGTAGCACGCAGGATAGCTCACGCTTCCTCAAGAAGCGCTCGCACTATGCAAAAAACCCTATTCTCTCAGAGCCTGACCTCAACTGGACTCAAGAGCTCGAAGCCCTGGCGTCGAAGAGGTGCACACAAAATAGCTGGAAGAGAATAAGTGTTCGTTGAGAATTAGGAAGAAAGAGATAGAAAGAAAAAACTGCAAATAGAGAAAGAAAAAAATGTTCTGAGAAAGAAAAAGATATGAAAGAGAGAGAGAGAGAGAAAGAAAGAAAGAAAGAAAGAAAGAAAGAAAGAAACTGCTTGCCAATCTAAAAGAACGGTGCAATGCTCTTGACTGTCCTCCAGTGACTGCACGTACTTGATTGGTACTCCCTCCTCTTCTTCCTCCTGTCAGTCTTGCGAACAGCTTGAACTGAGAAGTGTGCGGCCACAAACGCACTGGGCAGTCACTGTGGCTTCTTGAAGAAAGAACAAGAGGTGTCGGAGAAACTGCATGTCGTATCTGGTTGAAAGGTGGTCCTGAGATGAGCTACGCGGCTTTGGGTAGAGCACATCGACAGTCTTGGCATCCTTGACACTCGCAGCATCAACAGTCTGTGCATCTGAGAAGGGTGTCCTACCTCATCCACGAAGGTAATCATAGCCCGTCGGGCACGATCTGGGCGGGCAATGCGCACGCATCGGCCACAAGAGAGCAAAGCCTCATCTGCCGCCTGGAACGAAGTGAAAAAGTGGGCTTGGAGCAACTTTGGCAATTTGCATGGCAGTCACCTATGAACCATCTTAGCCCACCGTACAGAAGAGCACACCTTTGCCGGGCTGATCTCGATCTTCTCGGCTTCGCCCTGACTTGTGCATGGAATGAAGTCTAAAGTCATTGAGTCATTTTAGTGACCTCCGCACCTCCTCGGAAACCAATGTGCCAAGAGCTGGTAGTTCATCTGCAGCCTCACTGTCACCGATGTTGAGAGCCTGAAGAAGCTCCTCCAATAAACAAGTGTGTCTTCTGTCTTCATGACAAGTGATTCGACTGAATCTATTAGAATTTTATCTCCAAGCGCTGGGTCCTGGCATTTCTCGCATGCAGAACTCCACTTGGGGTCTGGATCGCTTTCCAAGGCAGCCAAGTCATAGAGTAACCTCCGAGAGGAATTGTCCTTTGTTTCTTTCTGTCTGAATTGTTCACATCGTCACTCCTGCCAAGATCTGCAGCCAAATCATCTTGTCTGGAGACCTGTCCAGCTTTACCAATGATTTGAGATACAAAGCGTCATAAAAGGCAAAGCTGCGAGACCTCTGCAAAGCTTGAGTGTTTGCCCAACTCCTGCAAAAATCTTGAGGCCACCGGTCAATGATGCATCAACCATTGACAAAACTTGTCAAGAGTACCAAAATCCTCCAGAAACCCTCTCCGTCTCCTTAAGCAAGCTGTGCTTGAAGTTTAGCTCCAAAACTGGGCCCTTCGCAGCTCTTTGAGAAAACTCATGACTTAAGTCTGAAGGGATCGGAAGGTTGTCAAAACCTTCCAGCTTTGGTGAAGCGTTTGAAAGGTATAGGCAAGAAGCTACTAGGTTGGAGGATATCACTATTATATAGGTTGGAGGCCATTACTACTAGTAGCAAGAAGCTATAGGTTGGAGGCCATCGCTATTAGGTTGAAGCCCATTACTACTAGTAGCAAGAAGCTACTAGGTTGGAGGCCATCGCTATCAGGTTGAAGGCCACTACTACTAGTAGCAAGAAGCTACTAGGTTGGAGGCTATCGCTTTTTTGTTGGAAGCCATTACTACTAGTAGCAAGAAGCTACTAGGTTGGGGGTCATCGCTACTAGGTTGGAGGCCAATACTACTAGTAGCAAAAAGCTATTAGGTTGGAGGCCATCGCTATTAGGATGGAGGCCATTATCACTAGTAGCAAGAAGCTAGTAGGTTGGAGGTCATTGCTATTTGGTTGGAGGCCATTACTACTAGTAGCAAGAAGCTACTAGGTTGGAGG